CATGCTGCCACTTTAAATCCAACCAACCGCATGGGTAATTGAAAGTATTTCTTTGTGATTACTATGCTACAGCCTTTGTAAACCAAATTAATTTCCTAAGAGATGGGATCCACAGCTAACTTAGGCAGTGGGAACTCCACAACCCACTCCTAGATGTCTGGACTTCTTATTTCCCATAGGTATAGGAAAAGTCAAGTTTCCTTAAACACTGAGTACTCACAGCATACTGACTGAAAAGATATGTGTCAGCTAAAGAGAGACCACTGAAAACACAGTGCATCCTATACCCTTTGGATTTTCTCAGTTACAAACAGGAGAAAATAATTCTTTGACAAAATTTGAACTTGTCTTTTGCTCTGTATTTCTGTGATTTCTGCTTTACTAAAGCCAGCCCCGAGGAATAAGAGCAGTTAGTAATAACCAACCAAATGGTGCTCTTCAGTCAATAATTAAGAACAACATGGAAATTATGAGGCATAACATAAAGGAAACTCATAGGCTGTAATAAAACTAAACTGTTTTACTAGTGATAATAATGACTACAAAAATTTTTTCTCCATGCTGCCTTTGCAGTACAGCAGTGCCTCATATGACTAATTCTCAAAGACAATTTATCATAGAATCATAGAATGGTTTGGGTTGGAAGGGACCCTAAAGATCATCTAGTTCCAACCCCCCTGCCATGGGCAGGGACACCTTCCACTAGACCAGGTTGCTCAAAGCCCTATCCAACCTGGCCCTGAACACTTCCAGGGATGGGGAATCCACAACTTCTCAGGGCAACCTGTGCCAGTGCCTCACCACCCTCATAGTGAAGAATTTCTTCCTTATATCTAATCTAAATCTACCCTCTTTCAATTTAAAGCCATTACCCCTTGTCCTATCACTACATGCCCTTGTAAAAAGTCCCTCTCCAGCTTTCTTGTAGGCCCCCTTCAGGTAATGGAAGGCTGCTATAAGGTTTCCCCAGAGCCTTCTCTTCTCCAGGCTGAACAACCCCAACTCTCTCAGCCTTTCCTCATAGGAGAGGTGCTCCAGCCCTCTGATCATCTTCATGGCCCTCCTCCTGACTCGCTCCAACAGGTCCATGGCCTTCTTATGTTGGGGGCCCCAGAGCTGAACACAGTACTCCAGGTGGGGTCTAATGAGAGTGGAATAGAGGGAAAGAATCAACTCCCTTGACCTGCTGGTCACTCTTCTTTTGATGCAGCCCTGTTGGCTTTCTGGGCTGCTGTTGAATTTCCAATCAACCAACCCCCCCAAGCCCATCTCCTCAGACCTGCTCTCAATCCATTCTCTGTGCAGCATGTATTTGTGCTTGGGATTGCTCCAACCCATGTGCAGGACCTTACACTTGGCCTTGTTGGACTTCATGAGGTTCACACAGGCCCACCTCTCAAGCCTGTCAAGGTCCCTCTGGATGGCATGCCTTCCCTTCAGTGTGTCAACCGCACCACACAGCTTGGTGTTGTTGGAAAACTTGCTGAGGGTGCACTCAATCCCACTGTCCATGTGCGCCAACAAAGATATTAAACAGCGCTGGTCCCAGTACCGACCTCTGAGGAACGCCACTCGTCACTGGTCTCCATTTGGACATCAAGGTGTTGACTACAACTCTTTGAGTGTGACCATCCAGCCAATTCCTTATCCACCAAGTGATCCATCCATCAAATCCATGTCTCTCCAATTTAGAGACAAGGATGTTGTGCAGGACAGTGTCAAATGCTTTGCCCAAGTTCAGGTAGATTATATCAGTTGCTCTTCCCTTATCCACCAATGCTGTAACCCTGTCGTAGAAGGCCACCAGATTTGTCAGGCAGAATTTGCCCTTAGTGAAGCCATGCTGGTTGTCGCCAATCACCTCCTTATTTTCCATGTGCCTTAGCATAGTTTCCAGGAGGATCTGCTCCATGATCTTGCCAGGCACAGAGGTGATACTGACTGGCCTGTTGTTCCCTAGGTCTTCCTTTTTTCCCTTTTTAAAAATGGGGGTTATGTTTCCCCTTTTCCAGTCAGTGGGAACTTCACCAGACTGCCACATGACATTTCTAAGGTCCTTTCTGTAGTTTTGCTTTAACCCTGTTAAACAGTTTCTTTTATAAAGGTTTCAGTTCCTATACAATTGTTAGCAGGTTTTAGACATTTAATTTCTGAGAGGTGAGGTGTCAAACTGTTCCCTCATCACTGTCTTCTGTCCCATGCTGAAGGAGGACCAAAGGTATGGCACATGGGACATTGCTTTCTGAAGGTAATGCTTTTTGAAGTGTAGCCTTTATCAACAGATTTATTTATTTTTTAAATCTAATATAATTTTGTCTGCACAGATTTCTGCATGGATTTATGTTCTAATAACTTTTTTTAATAAAGGATTATCTGTGTGAAGCTTGCATATCTCTCACTTGATTACTTAAAAATAAAGTTACTAAATATGCCTGTCTCAAAAATACTGACAGATCTCAAAGGTAACATATTTCTGCTGTACACAATAACAAAATTTTACTATTTTTGGAATCTGTAAATGATTTTGTTGTAGATAATTGCAGAAATTTGCATTTTATTTCCAACAGAAATTTTTCTTCTTTGTCTTTAAAGCAGCTGCCATAAAGGTAGACTCCTTTAGATGTTCTTACTTTTCCCTTAATTAATTTTAAACCCCATGTTTATTTCCTGCATTGTTCTTATGACATACTGTATATTGCATTCAATAAAAATCCAGCCTCTGCTGATTAGCACTCATTTGCCCTTGGGCTTGTAATGCATCTTCAATACACCTGAATAAGGGTCAGCATTAAACCTGAATGTTCACCTCTGACCTCAGAGGACTCCATTTATTCACATTAACAGTGAATTAATTTTGTCTTTTCTTGTAAGAAGATAAATACTACCTTTCCTATTTTTTATTTTTTTATAAATAATAGATTGTCCAATAACAATGACAGACTGACCTAAATTAACACTTCTTTTTATCCATCTCTGTAATGTTTGAGGAAGGTCTTCTGTACATTACGTGAAAGCTGCATATACAGCCAGCATGACAGAAAGTGCTGTTTCAGCCCATTAAATTACAAGGTAATCTTCTTCAAGGTTTTAAAATATTTCATTTCTAACTTTCATTAGAAAGGGTAATTATTAAAAAATGTGAAAGATAGAATGTGTTGGCCACTAAAATAAATAAAAACCAGAACATCTTTTCTTCACCTTTACCTTTAGCCTCTCATTTCAAAGACTCTTTTTGATATGACTTTTATACCTTAAGTCACCAAAATAGCTCACCTACACATGAGGGTAAATGAATTAATAGAGCAAACAAATAATAGTCTTGGGAATACAGACCCTTGGCTTTGTTTAACTCCTGTTGATGAAAACCCCTAAATTATATATATTTTTTTTTAACTCAAAATCTCCTGGGACTTAAATGTAATGTCATAAAAGAAAAATAAATTCCCATCTTTCATTAATCTGAGCCAAGTTACAAAGGGGGTCTGTCTTTTACAGACACTGCAGTCATAGAATCATAGAATCATAGAATCATCTAGGTTGGAAAAGACCTTTAAGATCATCCAGTCCAACCATTAACCTACACTACCAAGCCCACTCTAGACTAATCAAGGGTAGACCAGACTAAACCATATCCCGAAGTGCCACATCTACCCGTTTTTTAAACGCCTCCAGGGATGGTGACTCCACCACCTCTCTGGGCAGCCTGTTCCAATGCCTGACCACCCTTTCCGTAAAGAAATTTTTCCTAATTTCCAGTCTAAACCTCCCCTGGCGCAGCTTAAGCCCATTTCCTCTTGTCCAGTCTTGCAGGACAATAACAAAACAGGAAAACATCTACTTAAAGAATCTATTGGTGGTATTACTAAAACAGATGCAGGTAGGGTTAGCCTATAAAACTGACTTCCAAGCACTCATTTTAATCTTTCGATGCTCTCTTTCTGTATTTTCTTCATTTCAGGATGATACCTATTGGAAAAAGTCAGTGAACCAAGCTGCTTCCCAAGTTCCTTTCAAGTGGGTTAAATTGCTGTGGAGAACAGTAGCTCTTTCTGCTTCTATTTCTAAATATGCACTTAGTCCCAAACAAGTTATCAGGAAAAGAGGTGGCAGAAATGGGTCTGGTTCTCCCCAGATAAATGAAGGGAATTTTCTGACCCTTGAAAATATTCACAAGTGTATTCATTTATAACTACTGCAGCTGCACCACTGTCTATTTACAGCAGGCAAGACTCAACCTATCTCCACTCCCTTTCATTTAGTGGAATTATAACAATAGAAAACAAGTGTA